TGCAGACGAGCCGACGAGGAGCACAGGCAGACACCAACTATAAATACACACACCAGGTAATGAGGAAATGGCACACAGGAGGGGACACAGCTGGAACTTAATGGGCATAACGAGACACAGACCTACAAAGTAAAACAGGAAATCTAGAACCCGAACCGGACACAAGGGGGGAGGACACAGAATAACTAGAACAGAGGGAAATAGTCACAAAACACTGGGTCAACGACCCAGGACCATGACAGTACCCCCCCTCCAAGGGCTGGCTCCAGACAGCCCAAAACAAAAACAGACGACCAACCCAGGGCGGGCGGCGGGGTCCCAGGACGGAGGGACCAACACCGAACAAAACAAGCTCCAGCGGACCGAGGGAATTGTCCAAAACAAAAACACACATGCTGGAGTACCAGGACAAAACACAGTTCAGGAGGCCGGCCCAGAGGCTCACAGCTCAGAAGTCCAGGACAGTTTATCTTCTGAGGCCGGCCACGTCGGCGACACAGCTCCGAAAGCCGACCGAGTGGAAGGCAGCGGTGGCGGAGTGGAGGCAGTTCAGGGGGCCGACCGTGCACACGGCAGCGGCGGCGACGAGGAAACCGTTCAGGCGGCCGACCGTGTGGACAGCAACGGCGGTGACGAGGAAACAGTTCAGGCGGCCGACCGTGCGGACAGCAACGGCGGCGTCTAGGAGGTCGTCCATAGTGACGATGACGCTCCACCAGCGGCCTGGCAGATGACCGCCGATGTCGAGGCGGCAGTTTGGGACCCGAAGGTGGCGTGGCCGTCGCAGCACCAGACGAGACCGAAGCAGAGGCCGGACCAGGCGATGCTGACGAGGGTGCTGGAGCCGGGCCAGGCGATGCTGAAGACACGAAGGCTGGAGCCGGACCAGGCGAGGATGAAGCAGAAGCAGAGGCTGGACCAGACGAGACTGAAGCAGAAGCAGACGGACTCCTCGGGCCCCCCAGCAGGCGAAGCAGGAGGCTGGACGGGCTCCTCGGGCCCCCAGCAGGCGAAGCAGGAGGCTGGACCAGTGGGCACCGGGGCCTCTGGCAGGCACAGTTCAGAGCCAGCAGGCGCACGGGCCTCTGGCAGGCACAGAACAGAGCCAGCAGGCGCACGGGCCTCTGGCAGGCACAGAACAGAGCCAGCAGGCGCACGGGCCTCTGGCAAACACAAAGCAGACTGCAGCTGCACAGAGCATCGACTCAGCTCAGGCAGCGACAGCCGGATGCAGTCCTCAGCTGGCTTCTTAACCTCCAGGGATCCAGAGTCAGCCGGGGGCTGGGACCCAGCCTCTGGGGAGGCCCTGGAGTGCGTCACAGTCTCTGGGCTGGCCAGCTGTTGCGGACTGACTACTGCGTTATGTGGTGTGTCTCTCTGCTTGACATGAACAGGTGAAAAACAGTGCTTTTCCGGTTGGATGGACTGGACTTGTAGTACAGGCGGAGCTGGTGAAGATGGTGGCTGAATAGGTGGCTGAGCTGGTAATAACGCTGATGAGTCGCTTGCCAACTGAGCTATTGACTGAGCCACGGATTGTAACAAGGTGTCTAATAGGTCTGGCTGTGACTGTAATGGAGGTGGAGATTGAGTGGCTAACTGAGGTAGCGGCTGCAGGGCAGCTAACCGAGCTACCGGCTGGGCAGCTGGCTCAACAAACACAGCCCCGGAATAAACAGTCATGCGAGCTGGCGAAACAGACGGAGTGTCTTTTCCACTCACCACAGCCGGCAGTTCCGAAGTCCCAACCTCCGGCTGTGGGGCGACGCGCCGACGGCGCGATCGTCGCTTCCTCCCGGGCAAAACCTCCGGCGGGCCGGGCAAAACCTCCGGCGGGCCGGGCAAAATCTTCACCGCCGGGCTGGGTTGGGAAGCGGTAGCGGCTGGAGGTGAAGTTCGTTAAGGATGAAGTCCTGTGCGAGCGGGTGAAAAGAGTCGAGTAGCCACCAGTGAGCAGACATCAGCTGCTGTAGCCTAGCTTCTACAGCGTGGTGAAGCTCTTCCTCCTCATGCTCCAGCCACAGGTTGACCAACCTGGAGACGCTGTCGATCACTTCCTCCCGAAACTCCTGGGACGGTGCGGATGCTGCTGGGTCCATGTTTGGTCGGCTCGTACTGTCACGGCTGGCGGAGGGAGCCGTGTGGTGTGGAGGAAAAGGAGGACCCAAGATGCAGCAAACTGATGATACGAGTGATGTTTTATTTACAAAGGTGGCGGTGACAAAAACAGGCAACGAGGTATGAGTACTTTACAAACGGAAACCTAAACTGGGAGAAACTAAATAGCAAACCTGAGACCGTACAAAGGGGGTGCGGGGCAGAGGGACGCAGAGACAGGACACCATGGAACGCAGATGAATGCAGAGATACGCAGAAATACACGGATGAGTGCAGACGAGCCGACGAGGAGCACAGGCAGACACCAACTATAAATACACACACCAGGTAATGAGGAAATGGCACACAGGAGGGGACACAGCTGGAACTTAATGGGCATAACGAGACACAGACCTACAAAGTAAAACAGGAAATCTAGAACCCGAACCGGACACAAGGGGGGAGGACACAGAATGACTAGAACAGAGGGAAATAGTCACAAAACACAAAACGCTGGGTCAACGACCCAGGACCATGACACGTTTTATGTTTCCTTTATATCTTACGGATTGAAACATGCAGTATGATGTGAAATACAGGGTTGTATTCTTTTGGAAATTGGACTTGCATGATTACTGCACTGTTATTGTCTGTGGCGCGCACAAACCTGCAAAGCATGAAATCAGATCTCATAAAGATAGTGTGAAGTAAATTTGTTCTCTGGTTTAACTCAGTAAATCTTTCTCACTGCGTCTGTGGGGTGTGATATGATGCATGTGCTATAGATGAAAATATGCTGATTCTGAGTCTCCCTTACAACGCTGTAAAACTACAGCGTCTTGGCTCCCGGGCCTTCAGTTCAGAAGCTTTCGATATGTTTTTCAATGTGGCCAGAACAATAATTGAAAGGCCATGTAGATCATGGAAGCAGTAAAGAAGGAGATTAATGTAAGGAAGCAAGAAGAGATTAAAACTATTTAAAGAAAATATGGTCTGGGTCTCATCTGTGGTTGTTCCTGAATACTGTAAAAGTTCTTCAGGATACGTAGTGCCAAACTGCAACCTTCCAGTTTGAACAACAAAAGCTTTGTTGACAATGAAGAGAGTTTGAACTCAATTTCTTGAGCAATGAAAAGATTTGACATACTGCATGTAAGGATGGCAACAAAAAGCCTTTGTTGCTCTTTGACAGATTCGGGAGAAACCTAAATAAATCTCTGATCTCAAAGACATCCTGTCAAACAAGTTGGGTGACAAGCACAGTGTTAAGCCATGCCAGCATTTAGAGAACTAAATGTGCATCAGTGAGTCACGTATAAGCTGTGCTCAGCCTCCGTATAGTTTGGAAGTTTTGCCTTTATTCTTTTAGACTTGGCTAAGTTGGGCTCCTCATTACACCACATATTTTTTTAAACCCTGTATTTTCCAAGTTCTCCCACATATTTTAAGAAATCGTGACTGCCAGGTGCTATCATTTCTCTGCCAGAGAAAATATTAAAGCATCTCACATCCCTTTGTGACCTTGTCCTGTACCCACCTGGGAATGGGTGTGCACAACATCCACATTCCTTATTTTGAAATGGTTATACTGTTGCCATTTATTTCATACGACACTGAAAGGCTGACTTTTTTCAGCTTGTAGTATTTTTACACCAGGACAGAGCCAAACGAGCAAAATTCTCTGTCAGCCCACTCCCCATTCCCACTGACTTACAGACAATATTCTAGATAATTGTTTCCTGTTTGCCCATCTCTAGACTGAAACAATGAAATTCCAAGGAATAAAATATTATTCCAGCATATTTTGCGTCTTTTGATAATTTGAAAAGAGTTTACATTATAATTCTCTGGGTTTGCATTTTGAGCTGCATGTGGCTGCTTTTAAGTGGTTACCCACAGTTTTAAATGGTTTAGCTTGAAGCTGTTATATAAAAATTTAACTTAGAAGAAATGAGAATGTGCTGCATTTCTACGTTTTATCTAACAGCAAAAGTAATATTTCTACTTTTGACTACTGAGCAAAATAAATCAATCTGGCAGCTCTTACTCTCAAAGCTTCCCCAGTGTTTTGATGTATCGTCGCTTAAATTATAATAATAATTAACTTAATCATATCGACATATTAATAAAGATGTTGTACATGATCTTTTACCTCCTTCCTCTACAGGTTATCTATTAAATGTAACCCTGGCTGATGCCATTTCTTATATTCCATTTGATTACGCATCCATTATTCAATACTTTATAATACAACTTATGATTGTGCCCGTTTCCTTCAGAAGACAAAATTTCTTCCTCATTGGCTGCCTTGTGATTTTGCTTGTATAGTCACTGGAGTCACGGCACTCCTTTCATCCTTGGAGACCCTGAGACAGTGCGATAGCCCTCCTCACAAGACGTGCACTTTCATCCGGCCTCTCTCCTCCTCGTTCGTGCCCGTCCTTCCTTTCCACCGAGACCCCAGCTTGCCAGAGGTCCTTGGCAGCGTTTGTCTGCCCTGCTGGTGAACCTTTTTAGCTGGCGCAATTCAAACCTCAGTCCATCTGAGGCCCTGCCACTTAGTGTTAGGAGATGAGTTGGACAGAAAACTGTAGGCAGGGGAGAAGGGATAAGGTCTGATGCTTGGACAAGATGCGTGGTGAGCAAAAGATGGCACGGAGGAGGTTAGCAAGAGACAGATAGGGGCGAGAGGGCTGTCTGGAGGGAAATTTGGAAGAGGGAACAGGGATGTCAACACTGAGGCAAGCTCGAGCACGAGACACAGAGGTAACCTGAGAAATTAGGATTTGATTAACTACAAGCAAAGGAGTCAAGGAGAGTGATGCTGTGACAAGATTATCTAAGGGTTGAGGAAAGAAGAAAGGCCACAATCTGCCACTCTTCTTTTCCAACTTTGCACTTACCAACTTTTCGAGGAGAACGTAGTTGAATAAAACAGGGAAAAGAAAGAAAAAAGATGGTGTTACTGAAAAAAGAAATCCATTGCCTAGACAACATTGTAGAGAACAGAAAACAGAGATGTGTCAAAAATGGGTCCGCTGGCTGAAAAAGAAATAGAAACCGTTGAGAATGACCTGAAAGCAGGACAATCTTTTTTTTTCTCCTTTAGAAAAGGAATTGAGGACAGGCACAGAATTGGAGAAAGTAGCAAAAATAGATGAAAAAGATCAGAAGTGAATGATGGAGTAGTGCAGGTTAAAGCAAACAGAAAGGTGTGGGGGAGGTGGGAGTTTTTATTTTATTTATTTATTTTTATTTTTTGTGTGTGTTTGTCTTTGCCAGAATAATTTAGAAACATTTTTTTTAAAAGGACCCTGTTTTCCTTTTTCATAGTGCTGGATTAATTTAATTTGAGGTCTCTCAATGCACAATAATGGCTTGGTAATGCTTAGACAATTTGTATGGAAATTCACCTCGAAGAATCCTGGCTATTATCACAGAGAGAAATAGTAGGTGAGATAAGAAAACCAATTTGAAGCTATGGTTACCGTGTGGTTCTTTGTTAGGTAAAAGTTCGGTTTTTCTCACCTAAATGCTAATTCCTTCACCCCTGGAGGACATTATGTCCTACAAGTATTTTTTCTAAAGAACAAAAAGGGCATGCAGTTTTTTCTCTGAAAGTACAAAAAAGATTCACGAATCACTCTTATGCACAGTTTTACTCATGGACAGGTGCAAGTCTGACATCTGACCTCAACCTGCTTGAACATGCATGTCACTGACAAGAGAGAGAAAGAAAAAAAAACCCAAAACAGAAATAAACCTGAACATCCAATCCCCAATTAATTAACTGACTGAATTCGTTTCACAGCTTAGTAATATTATTTCTAGCAAAACTTCTGGTGAGTTTCGGAGCACTTGTTAACTTCCATCTATTATATGGAGATAAATTACAAGTATTTTTTGTATATTCGTCTCCCGTTGTGTAGTTAATAGACCTTTTAGCATGTACTATTAATAATACTAATAGTGCATGCTAAAAAGTAATATGAATATTGTAAATAATATTAATTTTAAACGTGTACCAAATTCTCCGAGACTTTTCTGGAAGCTTTTATTAAATTTACAGGTAGTGTACAGATCAAAGGGGTAATTATCAAAATACCATCAAATAAGTTTGTTCTCTTAGTACAAGTACCTGCTGCAGTATCCCCCCCCCCCCCCTCCTCTTTGTTTCAGAGAACAATGGTGCTATGAACATCATGTCTAATGTGCCTTCAGTTGGATCAACAAAGCAGAATGACAATCAGGAGCTGTTTTTCTCTGACATTTGACAAATTGCTTAGCTAAGTGATGGGGGTGGTAACATTTCTTAGCTACCAATACATTCAGGTCAGTAGGTTGGTGTACAAACAAAGCGATGGGTGTCACTTCAGTGAACACTGCTGTTGTTCTAACAAGGACAATTACCCTAATACTCATTTGGAATTAAAAACCTCATTACAGAGACTTAATTAATGATCTGGAAAGTAAAGGATATTAACAAATAGCGAGCAATAATGCTGCATTCGCCACATCTAATCAACATGTCTCATTCTCCTTTGCAATCAAGTATAACACTTCATATTCCTAACAGGGAATTTAGATTTTAATAACACTGCAGTGAGTCTCCTTTGTTGGACATTGGGTCATTGGATGTCTATGGGGTAAAAATTCCAAGGCGTATCTCTGTCCATTTATGGTAAATAGTGCTATTACAGCATGGTGCTTGTTAGTAAAAAAGTCACAGATAAGCTATTGTACTGCCACAACGTTAGTGCCCGCGTGACAAGGTTGCATATTTTTTGGAATGAGCTGAGGAGACCTGGGAAATTAATATGGAATAGATAGTGAGGAGTAAGGACATAAGTTAGGGCAATTTGTGTTCTTCCCTCAACTGTGTGACATTGAGAGCACCGTGTGTTTGGGAGATAAAGAAATGAGAGAAGTGACATTAGTCTGACTCAGAGAGGATATTTGAGAAGGCACTGAAGAGAGGAGAAAATGAAAAGGTAATAGGAGGACAGATTATGAGTTTGTGTAAAGAAAGTGCAGCGAACATTAGAAGGAAGGACAGCCAAGGCTGGAATGCTGAATATTCTATAAATTATTGCTACCTAAACATAAAAAGAAGGAACACTGTTGAACTACTGGTGATTGTTGTCAAGAATGTGGAATATGTTGATATCTGGCTTTCATCTATCTTTCTCAGCGTCTTCACCTGTCTAAAATCAAAAAATTAGAAAACATTGTCTGAATCTGACGAGGAATCATATTGTATCATATTTCTAAGCCCACAGCCCTGCTGGAATTCAAAGCAGGAGGTCAAACTCACCTGGAAACAAAGTAATCAGTGCAAGTAGAATAATAGCTGCTAAGATTAAAAGAAATCTACTTTGTAATCTACTATGTAATATCCAGATATATTTTCGCTCAAGGGGAAAAGCCCTTCCATGATTGCTTTGCTGCTGCCATGATTAATAACACCTCTGAAGGAATATGATATATGCTTGTATGACAAGTTTTAAATGTAAACTGTCAAACACACTGAAAAGATTCCTATTTTTACTCTGTATGAACCATACTGACACAGTATGTCTGGTTTGCATAGCAGACCAAGGAGCGGCAGCAAGGACATGCTCAGTAACTCTCAATATATGCTAGTGAATATTTCATTTTTCCTTTTGGGTTTTTGATGTAGATCAATAGTCTGAAAAATAGATCTTATGGACCCAGACCCTTTCAGAATGAGCTTTCTTTCTCTCGTGTTCACTTCTTTATTATACGTTTGAGTTTATGGACTTATTGTATCATAGATCTAGACACACTGTATCCACTGGAGGTTAAAAAAAAGAAAAGAAAAACAAAGTGCGTCTTACTTGGGTCCGACAGGATGGAGTCAGTCTTGGGCAGAAACTGGTCACAGCGGATTCCTTGGTATCCTTCTCGACACCTGATGGAAACAGGAACATAATTATTAGTCAAGTAATCAAAAACTCTAGCTGGGAAACTACGCAAATGACCTTTATACATTCAATTAATTTAAGAGGGCCTATTATGTTTTTGCTTATTTTTATATGTAGTCGACACATGTAAAAGTAATCCCAGTGGCTTTTCCTGTAGATATCACTGATATGGTTAATTTAGTGACAACCTATAAGAGGAGAGAGTTGTCTTTAAAGTTTGGTGGAAAGGAGCTGAAATGGTTCGTTTCAGACATACATGAACACAGTGGAAACACCACTGTTCAGTATAACACACACACACACACACACACACACACAATAAAGACTGATTTTAAACCGTGAATCATGGATAGCTACTCTCACTGAGTCACATAACAAAAGAGTTAGAAATGAACATAACATCTCCCCTCATGTCGCAGGTTCGGTCACTATTTTTCTTGGTGATGTGAGCTTTTCTTGTTGCTCTAGTTTCTTCATCAGCCACATTGTGCAAGTCATCTCATTCAAAACTTTAGCATCACTATGTCTTGATGCATGCTCAATCATCCAGGTGAGGAAATCCCAAAAACTTAATTACGTTCATCTGGATGTAACATTTTCAATGAGAGAAACGTTTCAGTGGGAAACCAAACAACCTCTGGGTAAGTGGTTGGCACAACACAGAGGAGCTAACTCATCAGGCCAGGACTCTGCAGTCTATTCACACCTACAGGCCAGTGGACACTCTTTCAATGATGAGGATGTAACATCCTGGACAGGGAGGAACGCTGGTTTGAGCGCGGAGTCAAGGAGGCCATTTACGTGAAAAGGGAAAGACCATCTCTGAATCGAGGAGGGGCCTAAGGGTAACCATCATACAATTCTGTGACTGCAGCCATTCCCCAACTCTCTGTGAATGGTACTCATGGTCTTTGATTGGTGGTTGTTGACCAATGGTCATGACAATTAGCATATCAAGATGAAGATAATCAAGAAACTGACCTCATAGCTCATTGTTAGTCAGTGGTGCTAGTTTCAGTCATTGTGCAAAGGTACTGTTTAAAAGGTTGGGGAAACCTGCAGTCACCTGAGACTAAAGAAGCCACTTGGACGATGATGAAATATTTCTCCAACTGAAAACGCTACGTCCAGATGAACAGAAGTATCTACTATGTTCCTTCATCTGGGACTAAAAATAATTCTGCATGCTCATTTTTGTTTTTTAGATCTTTTCTACAGTTCTCTTCTTACTTAAAATGATGTAAACATAAGAGCTACAAAGAGAGTACAGCCTCCTCATCAAAGGAAGCAAACTGACAAGAAGAAATTATTGGTGGGGTGATCTTTAGGGGCAGAACTCTCTACTAGCAAAAATGTGTCCTAGGCAAAATCACAATGGGTGCTGCAGAAGAAAAGGTGGATCCAGCGTGCATTGACCTTTTTCACAGCTAATGACTTTCAGTTTCCTTGTTTGGTCAGAGGAACATCATTAGATGCACCATGCAATGAATAAAATGCAGAATTTCTCCTACAAAGGCAAAGTGCAAGAGCATTGTTGAAATGCATATGAACTTTCCAATGACATTGAATCTGCTGTGATATTTTTCTCCTTGCGTGTGCTAAATTAACTGAAGACACATTCCATGGTTTCTGGATAGCCCTCAGACTTTTAAAGAAATTTAAACTGTTGAATATGATTGGCACATTAGTGAGAGTACCAGTCTGGCAATGATCATTAAGCAGCTAATGAATTCTGAAATGTGCTTGGGCTGCCCTTCAGAAAGTATCCCAAGAAAAGACAGGATGTATTTTTAATTAATTTTAGCTCAATAACCATCTCCTTATCAACACATGGAAGTGTAGCGTTGTCTTACAGAACAGATAGAAAGCACAGAGACTTCAATGAGGGCGTGAGGCCTAACTGGGTGTCGCACTTGGCTGGAATATCAATTTTGCCTCTGGCCAAATGTACTCTGCTTCCTTCTTGCAGAAAATACACATCTCATCCATGCAAAACATTAACTAAGAAACAGACATAGTGATGCTGCTTTAAATTTGACCACACTATTACTTAAAAATTGATAAATCTTCTAATAATTCTTTTTCATTATGCCTTAATTTTCATCTCTACTCCACCTGTATCCCTATGTCTCACCAGATTACCCTTGCAGCTTTGTTTCACAGAATCAATCTGCATCCGGTCTGACAAGCTGACAGCAGAGCAAAAATACTGATGCCTGCAAGTGAAATCTGAGAGAACATCTTTGTCCAACCAGACAAAACACTGGAGCTCTGCATAGACATCAAGCTTACAAGAACTGGAATGTGGCATATTAAAGATTTTTGCTTGGAGCAGAATGACGATAGCAAGCCTGTTTTGTGATTTTCAGTTCTTTAATCAATTAGAGTGGGGTGATTCGCCTGCGCATGCTGCTGGTACATATGTCTTTACTTTTGGAAATAAGTAAAGACATAGCAGTGTTGTGGCAATGAATGCAAACTTTGAATGAAACTCGTATGTATATACAAAAAAAATGCTTAAATCTTGAACTGGTTTGAAAATGGAGTTAAAGTACTTTGGGTGGAGCTGTGACTCACTGATACACAGCTCGCTCATGCAGGTTTTGAGTGTATTGTCAAGTGACACTCTGAAAGCTAAAAAAATGCTTGATTTTTGGGGGAGCTTCTCACAGCTGTAAGGCATTAGAAGAAATTGGTGGTGGTGAGATCCTGACACTTTTTATCAATCACTTGACATACTGTCAATCTGCCTTTTTCAGGTTCACAGTCGGAAAAAGCACAGGTGTAATGCGAAGTTTCTAAGCACACTGCAGGCTTCACAGCAGACACTGTGTGAAGTCTATACTTATAAACATTCAGCAGCTTTATCAGAACTACTGGTACTGCCGCGAGGGGAATGTGGACCGGCATGTGATGATTATGTGCAGGCCCTAACAATCCGAGTGATTTTATTCAACCATGGATTAAAAAAAAAATGATAGAATTCTGTGAAGACTGCCAAACATGGCATGCTTATATGCTCTATAATGGATCGACACTTTTTTTTTTATACGAATTGCTCAAAGTAATGCAAAATATGCCAAAGTAAGTGGTGTGGTCTAGTAACAGATGCTCAACTGCCATCTAGTCCAGCAGGGGGGTTGGAAGGCTTGGGGGAGGGAGCCAGTGTGAGAAATCTCCACATAACTGTGCTTGCCATTGCTGTCACTGTTAGCACGGTGGCAGCAGTGCTGTTCCTGTCTCGCTTTTAGTGCTGCTGTGTATGCTGAATAGCCCTCACCAATACGTGAAACTCTTTTGTGCATTTTCACAAATACAGTTAGTTTAAACCAGTTCAGCATATCGTGACTATGTTATGAGGAACTGAGCTGAGCAAAATTTACATGAAATCAATATAGGAATGTTGTAATGCTACAGTCAAGTCTAAGGAAAACGCTGGCTGGAGACCACGGTATGATCAAAATGACTGCAATCATGTGCAATTTAATTGGAATTTCATTGCCTCCAAAATGGCTGCTTCCAACGCAGGGACCAGGTCTGCAAGCACACGCACTCTGTTGCTATCTTCAAAGCAACTTTGATGCATCAAGAAAGCAATGAAACAGCAATGAGACAGTCAGTCTGTCTGCAGTTGGATCTGTTTGTGATAAATCAGCAGAAATTGCAAACCCGTGGCTGTGAGTTGCTGTATATATACATGGAAACTCTCATTCATACATTCAGAGTCTAACCAAAACCTCATAGGTTTGAAACAAAAATTCATCCATGCACCTGTTGCAGGACAGTGATTTATCTCCAAAATGACATACAGGTGCTTGGCAACTTCTCTTTTATATATGAATATAACCTGTTGGTAACTGGTTAAGTCTTGTATCACATAAGGAGACATCACGAGGCCTCAAAGATCCCATTGTTTGTCAAGGCAACAGTTTTGCCACCTCTCCTCCAAGTTTGTTGTTCTCAGCTTTTAGCATCTCAGTGTGTGATGCCAAATATGTTCTGTGTGGGAGCGGGAGAACAAAACAAACACAAACAAATACAGTTGCTTTGTTTTAAAGATGAGATCTAAATCAGGCTTCAAAAGTTTGACGAAATTCATTTTAAATGATAAACGTTTCCACAACTTTATATAACGTTGCCGGGGCAGATGTAGGTGAGCGTGATTTCACTGGCTGTTCTTTATACTACTGCTTTGTCAAAGTGGCTGGCAGATATGCCAAGGTGTACCTTGGCAAATCCCTGATGCACTGGGTAATGGCAATGGTAAGAAGGGTCTCATTCACAAATTGTCACATATGGATGATTATTCAGGACCGCTTTAAGCACACATGTGTCACTGGTTAAGTGTCAAATAGTTAAAGACATGACCTTTTCCTAAACCTAATCAAGTAGTCTGGTGCCTAAAGCTCAACATACAGCCAACAGCTTATTAACTGTGAAACAGCAACTTGCAAGAAAATGCCGTTATTTGATGCCCAAGGAGAAAACCAAGTTAGCATATGAAACTCCGGCTAGACGAAGCCTAACTCAAATCAAACATTTCAGTAAAAGTATATCATGTCAACAGGTCACTTACACCACAGATGGACATTTTCTCTTTACCAAACATCCCTCCATGGTGCTAAGCCGACTAAACTTCGACGAGAGGCAACCTTTGTCAACCCAACTGATGTGAAGAAAGATAATTAAAAGAAAGGAGGCTTAACATGGTGACAGTGCCCGTGTTTCATGCTCATTAGGTGGAACAGGGGAAGCAAGAGTGAATGCTAGCCACTGTTAAAACATACTTAAAAAGGCAAGAGAGAAGACAATACGCACAATTATGCACAGTTGAACAGACAAAGCATCCCGGTTAAATGGCCAGGAGCACCATAAACAGCTGCAATATCCTTCTGTATCATGTTTAGGACTGTGCAGTTTATGAAGTTCTTGTATCCCTCAAACTCTGTTTTTTGTTTGCCTATGCCGTTTGCTGCTGAGATCAAAA